TGTCTGTGTCTAGCACAAAAACATATCAAACAATGTAATTGTTAGTACATAAAATCACTGATGATAAATGGTGATTATAGTATTGTATTGTATGCAACAGTCTACTGCAGGAGGTGGAGCATGTAGTTCTAACCCTCTGGTTCTCCTGCAGGAGGTGGAGCATGTAGTTCTAACCCTCTGGTTCTCCTGCAGGAGGTGGAGCATGTAGTTCTAACCCTCTGGTTCTCCTGCAGGAGGTGGAGCATGTGGTTCTGACCCTCTGGTTCTCCTGCAGGAGGTGGAGCATGTGGTTCTAACCCTCTGGTTCTCCTGCAGGAGGTGGAGCATGTAGTTCTAACCCTCTGGTTCTCCTGCAGGAGGTGGAGCATGTAGTTCTAACCCTCTGGTTCTCCTGCAGGAGGTGGAGCATGTAGTTCTAACCCTCTGGTTCTCCTGCAGGAGGTGGAGCATGTAGTTCTAACCCTCTGGTTCTCCTGCAGGAGGTGGAGCATGTGGTTCTAACCCTCTGGTTCTCCTGCAGGAGGTGGAGCATGTAGTTCTAACCCTCTGGTTCTCCTGCAGGAGGTGGAGCATGTAGTTCTAACCCTCTGGTTCTCCTGCAGGAGGTGGAGCATGTAGTTCTAACCCTCTGGTTCTCCTGCAGGAGGTGGAACAGTTGCGCATGGAGCGGCTGCAGATTGATGAGCAGCTCCGTCAGATCAGTCAGAGTCACCGCTCCTCAGACAGAGGCTCCTACACAGAAGGAGGCTCCAGGAGCTACAACATGAGGGGGCGCAGGGGGCGGGGCCACGGCTACAGCACCGGATATGGTGAGCACCACTGAGGCTGTAAATCCAGGATCGAGGAGTTTACAGGTGCAGGTTCAGAGGTCACGCTATGAAACAGACAATGTGACAGCAGATGAATAGCAGTGAACAGACTACAGATAAATACATAGTGACAGATAAAGGAGGTGGGGACACTTTTGACTAAATACTATTGAAAAACAAATCATACAAAGCACAAGTTTTATCTGCATTAAAGCCACTCAGTATAACTACCACCACCATGTTTTTGAATTGTTGTCATGGACTTAGAATTTGACTTTTAAATGTTCATCAGAGCTGTAGGACTCTCCATATCAATGCGCCAACTTGAAATACGTTGGTTGATAAATAGAGGTGCAACGGTTCATCACTGATCCGTGATCCGTTCGGATCGACGTCTTCGGTTCGATGCAGACGTGACCCGCGGTTTGATTTGCCGCGGTATTGCAGCCCCTTTATGCACAGTCAGACTAAATTCAACTCTCCCGCGCATCCACAGTTGTGCTCACGACTGACGCTTGGACATCCCGCGGAACCTATAATAGATCCATGAGCGGAACGGAGAGCTATGTTACGATAACCGCTCACTTCATCACCGCAGACTGGGAGATGAAAAGTCTGGCGCTGCAGACACGCCCCCTCTACCAAAGTCACACAGGCACACAGCGCAGGTTCTGACACAAGCAGCGGAGGAATGGGAGACAAAGACCCAGTACTAATATCCCAGTCACAACTGATAATGCCAAAAATTAAACAAATGCAGTGAATGAGGCTGGACTGGGCCCAGAATGAAGCGCCTCCTCGGGAGAATCAGGAAGGTGGTTTCAATATATGAGGGTAAATATCCTCATAAAGTGCCTTCTTATGTTGCACTTTGTGTTTTTTTTCATTAATTATGTTAAAAAGACATAATTGGATGGATAGAAAGAAATATGCCCTCCATCCATCCATCCATTTTCTTCCCCTTAATCCATTTCTAGGTCAGGGGGGGGGCAGTCAGAGCTGCACCCAGTACACAGAGCACCAGCCCCTCACTGATCCTCCTGCAGGTGCTGAGTCCACATGAGCCGTGTTTATTAAAAAGACAAAACTTTTTTTTTTGTAAAAATGAACCGAACCGTGGCCTCTGAACCGAGGTACGATCCGCACCGTGATTTTTTTCAAACCGTTGCACCCCTATTGATAAAGGACAAAAAAGATTTGAGAATTGCGTTTTACTCATTTCGTTGCTTTCCATGTGCCCTCACCAATTTGAAGAAGAACCTTGGAGAACAACTGTTGTTGTGATTTCGGGCGATACAAATAAAATTGATTTGATTTAGAATTACAGTTATGTAAAAGAACGACTCAAACAATCTTTAAGAAAAATAATTTTGCAAAAGTCTAGAAACCGATGTCATAGTAGCAAACTGTCAACATCGCAAACCACACGCACCGAAAGACAGCGTTAACACAACAGGAGGCACATTGTGTAGTTTGCACACAACAGACTCACACATGAACATTACGTAACTTTCTTCACAATGACAATAATGAGAACAGGCAGAATCTGCAACACAGTCTCAGGATCAGAATCCCCACAAAACAATCGCCTGAATACTTTATCAGCAGCCTGAGTTTGAATGTTTTCTAACCGTAATGCAGATGCAGCACTGTGGCTAACGCTAATGCTAACATGAATATGTATATCTCTGTATATCTCCTGCTTCTCTGACCATCGTAGTTTTAAGCTCCCTCAGACGTTTATCCTCCATGCGTCTCTTCTCTTCACACCGCGTTTGTAAAACTATATATTATAATAGATCCATGGTAAAACTCTGTGCCGCTTCAGAACGCGACCACGATATTGTGTCAAGTGACCAAGGTGTATAGAGAGATCCATTTATCAAACTAAAGGATTCTGTCCTTGGCCCTTGTGAATGACTGAGTTGGGGACAATTGTCAAATATGACATATTGTCCATCAAAGGCTTCCATAGAACCCTGGACTTCAATATATGATCTCAACGCTAGATGAGAGTAAATACACAGTGTACCTTTAAACAAACATCAAGTCCAATCCAATTTCATCCATCAACCACTATTTTCATAAGTCACTATGTAAATGTAAATAATAAGTGATTACAAAAGGCCTCTTTTCTGATCCATTCGTCACGGGACTTCTAAAACTTGAAAAAGGTTTTTTTTGGGCTCAAAAAACAGAAGGAAGAATAAGTAAAGAGTAGTTTTATAAATTTAGATGCAGCCATTGTTTTAGATTTAGGGTTTTGTGATCGTAAGGGTTTGCAATAAAGCAAAATAATGAAGATGATTCTTTGCTGTAGGCACAAACTCAGAACAGTCCAACACCTCCGAGACGGACTCCGAGCGCAAAGACGAGCTCAGCGATTGGTCGTTGGCCGCAGAGGATCAGGACAGGTTTGTGACACCACCACAGTTTGACATCACAGTGTTTGCCTGAATGAAGAATTCTGAAAATAAGCTGGAGCCAGTTTCCTTATGTGGGCATTTCTTCTGCTGTGTTAGTTTTGTGCAGTAACTGGAGCATATGTGTTGCTAAGACGGTTGCTAAGGCAAGCTGTAATTTTTCCCTGAATGAAGGCATTTGATTGGTCAATCCTTATGTCTCATATCTGGATTTACAAACACAATATCACAATATAAACACCAGGATCACATAGAGAGAGAAACCACAGATTTACGACCAAACTGTCTCTGAGCTTGAGCTCACCGTGAGCACTTCCCTTTTGGGCTTCATTGATCTAGTGCAGTGTCTCCCAAAGTGGGGTCCGCGGCCCCCTGGTGGGCCGCGAGGGTACTGCAGGGGGGCCGCGGGAGGTCATAAAAAAAAATATATGTATATATATATAATTATTTAATGTTAAATTTATAATGTTTTGTTTGTAATATTAAAATATTTGTGTTCATTATTTGACTTGAATAATCCACTGTAATCATTTTTGTATTACAATGTTTGTAGCAGAGGCTGTTTCCCCAAAATAAAATAACCAGAAGAGCCTATTCTTAATGTTGTCTTCTTGGTAATTATTTTGGGGGGCCACGCAGACCCGTCAGATTTTTAAGGGGGCCTCGGTGTTACTGAGTTTGGGAATGGCTGATCTAGTGGGTTAGCATTAGGGATGTAAAAAACTATGAATTTTCATGACCGACCACCGAGCCTCATTAACCGGTTGAAACCGGTTAACCGCGTGGTTAAAAATTGTCCACGTTCTTTGAAATAGCAGCCATTTCGAGCCGCGTACTTTACATAAGTGCAGCTCTGCGTTCTACTGGATCAGAGTTGAGACAGCGGCGCCCAAACCCGCAACAGCTCCGGCACCTTTGCGCACAGAGAACTGCTTTTTTAATCTTCCCATTCTGCTGTGCTGCGGGTTAATACCAAAACTTTCTAGCAGCAAACGACGGCTCGTTCACATGGTCAGAGCAGCGAGTGACGAGCCGCGTCTCACAGGTCTTCACAAAAGTTTAAATACAAGTGATGTGTGTGGAGCTGATCCCGAGGACCATAAACACAAACATGTTCATGTGGTTTGACTGGAGCCGCGTATTTGCGCGAATCCTTTGGGCTCCGTGACACAGAGGAGCGCGACAGACCGGTATGTGTGTATGTGTGTGTGTATGTATATGTGTGTGTGTGTGTAAATGTAAGCTCCAATGTAGTTCTGACCCGCGCCAGTGTGCAACTTTGACGGTAACAGAGGGGAGAGATGATGCGTGTGGATGTTACGTATAGAGAGGGGGAAAGTGTGTGTGTGTGTGTGTGTGTGCACGCGTGCGTACGCGTGCGTGTGTGCATATGTGGCTCGTGCGGCGTGAGAGTCGTCCCGGAGTTTATAATACATGGGCGCACACAGCTAGATACAGACCCGCTCGTCACACCGTGCAAATAGGGCTTAAAATAGCGTTATTAAGAGACCTCCCCTCTCCCCGTTTTCTCGTTTTTAACCGACAGCTTTGACCGGTTAACGCTGTGACGGTCAACCACCGGTTAAACGGTCGCCAATTTACATCCCTAGTTAGCATATTCCATGTGTGTACAGTCAGGGGAAATGACAAATTGAATAGTCTATAATTTTTTTTGGGCCAAATTTAATGCATAATGTTTCTTAACTTGTGAATGTCGAGTGAACTTTATGTTGTCTGTGTTTGAGTGGGAGCTCTGAGGCAGAGATCCTAGGTCTTGAAATGTTTCCTGATTGGCGCTTTTTGAACAGGGACATGGAGCGAGGCTCGAGGCCGCAGAGGGACAGCCGCCGCCGGCCTGGACCCGGCAGAGGAAGAGGAGCTGGAGGAAGAGGCAGAGGAAGAGGAGGATACAATACATCTGGTAACATCAGCCATAGGTTAATTAGAGCGTTAACAAGACAAGACTTTCTTTGAGTGGCTTTGTGCTTGCTCTCCACCACTGATCCATTGGCATTGACTGCACACGACTGCCGGATCCTCCCACTCCTCTAATCAGATTTAGAGGAGTGGGAGTGGCCTATGTGGTCGTGGCCAGAGGAGTGAGGGGCAAAGCTCAAATTACTCAAACATGCGCAACAACTGTGGTTTTAAATTCAATTTAATTTATTTTTGTGTAGCCCTAAATCACAACAGTCACATTTAGTCCTACATCTCCTGCCTCAGTCCTTGATCATTTCTGCACATTTATTAACATTTCTGGACAGTGGTCACCCTGTTCCCTGTGGTCATCCTGTTCCCAATGGACCAGTGTGTTTGTTATTTCATTTCTTGTGTTTGAACTGTTTGATTCTCTAACCTGTTATTGATGAATCCACTACTTAGCAGCAGTAACAGTGAATTAGATCGAATTAGACACTGGTTTGATTGATTTCAAAGCCGTTAAATTCCAGTCAGTGATCCTTTTTTGTTTCAAAAAACACTATTGAAGCATTGATATTAAAGTAGTATATAATGTGTGGTTATTAACCTCAGTATGTCCTGTCCAGGCTACAGAGACCTCCATAGAGACCACCTTGCAGACCACGCCTCTGCAGAGAACACCACAGAGACCGACCAGACGGCTGACACAGATGCCTCAGAATCACAGCTGTCGACCAACCGCCGTCGGCGCTCACGCCGTCGCAGAACAGACGAGGACGCCACGCTCATGGATGCCAGCGAGTCTGATAACACGTCTGTGGGCGAGAACGGAGTCGGTGGGTGCTGTGTATGTGTGCCTGTGTGTGTGTGTCTCTGTATGTGTGTTTCTGAGTCTCTGTGTCTTGTGTGTGTTTCTTGGTCTCTCTGTATTTGCGTCTCTCTGTGTGAGAGAGTTGTGTGTGTGAGCTCTGGGTCATGTCCAGAGCTTATAGTTAAAAAAAAAAAACAAAAAACACATCAATACTTGGCCGATGGATTTGCACCACAGTGTGACATCACCACAGTGTGACATCACCACAGTGTGACATCACCTGTGATCCTGGTGTCTATACTGTTATATTGTCTTTGTAAGCCTAGGTATGAGACATATATGGATTGACCAATCAGAGGCCTTCTGAGATACATAGATGTGGTGGTATTTGAGTATTTTTGGTGGAGCTTCATAGACTCCTCATGTGACTCATGTGCAGAGGATCCTGAAGCCAAACCTCAGCGGCGCAACCGCAGTCGGCGCCGTCGCGTCCGTTACCCAGAGGAGAGGCCGCCAGGTAACCATGGAGATGCACGTGTGTGAAGCGGTTTGATAACAACTAACCCTGGCTCACTAACCTGTGTGAGCTCTGTGGCAGAAGAACGGGCACCAAACATCAAAGACAGTCATTGTTTTCAACCTTCATGTTGGTGAATTATTGCATGTTTAACTGTGTGTTTCACCTCCACCTGTCCCCGCGCCTCTGTACTCTAATCAGTTTGGGGAAGATACATTTAAAAAGTAACTTCTTAATTACTCATTACTTATTTTAAGAATGTACCTGTTGCTTTACTTAGTTACTCTCGAAAGAAGGAGTTTTGTGTTACAGTTATTATGCACGATTTTGAGCAGAACTGTTCATTCTACTCACAGTGGGGGCTCAAAAAAGTCCATAAGTACTGACGCTGACATACTTGTCAGTGCACGTGTAGGGGTGGACCCAGAAGGAGAATTACCCAATGATGTCCTCTTTCATCTCGATAACGTTTTTACAGAATGATTCAAGCGTTCACTCTTGGCCCAAAGCCACGTTCCAGATGCTTTTTTAAGACCAGTCAAGTTTAGCCGCTGTGGACTTAAGAAAGCACCCGTTAAATGAATGGGGCTGGTTCTGGCAAACACATGCGCAAATGCGTTTTTTAAAAACATTTTTCTGCAGGATTTTCTGCCTGCAGCCATTTTGAAAAAAGCCCCATAGAAGGCAAAAGTGATGTCACATGAGTTTCAACGGTTGAGATAGGTGTGACTACGTCAGTTAATATGGTCTATGGTTCTACTATGAAGACCATAACAGATACTACCTTTTCGCACTATATTATCAAAAAATGCCACAGAGCAATGTTGTTGTGAAATACAACAACCCAATGTACACATTGCAGCTCCTCTCTAAGCCCTTCCTATTTTGGAGCTTTTTGTCTTCTTTCCTGATACTGTTACTACCGCTTAGAATTGTCACATCCACCACCACAGCGTTCCACTGCCCTTCCTCGCCACTACCATCAGCCTGCATCTGGAAGTCCCTCAGGATCTTCACTCTCTCGTTCTTAACTTCCTTTGGATGAGTTTCCCATCTAGACCTCTGGTTATCCTTTCTAGCCATTGGTAGGACTTCTTGAGATCAGCCACTTCTGTTATGCTCCGGTGGTACATGCCGTGTAGGGGCTTGTCCTCCCATGATGGGCTCTCCTCCAGCACCTCCTCATCTTGCCACTGTCTCAGACTTTCACTGAGTATGTCATTCATTAGGCCCTTCCCCTTGATGTAGTTATGGAGTTTGGATGTTTCGTCCTGGACAGTGGCTCTCACAGTCACTAGTCCTGGGCCTCCTTCTTTACGGCTTTCGTACAGTCTCAGGGTGCTGGATTTGGGATGGAACCCGCCATGCATGGTAAGGAGCTTTTGCGTTTTAACATCTGTGGTCTGAATCTCTTCCTTCGGTCTCCTGATTATTCCTGATTATTCCTGCAGGGTATCTGATCACCCACAGCTGTTGATGGCCTTGTTCTTGCCAGTGAGCCGGCTTCTCTTACTCAGTTGCAGTTGCATTTGGCAGTTGCAGCGTTCCTCGTTGCCTGTTGGAGGTTGCTTTTTGCCTGTGGTATACCAAGATACTTGTAGCTGTTCTCAATGTCTGCTGTTCCCTCTGGGAGTAAGACTTCTTCAGTCGACTTCCTTGCCTCCATTTATTTCTGAATGCATCAAAGTGAATGATGTGTAAGGAATGTGCCAGAAGCTGTGGAAGCGGCATGGACAATCGTGTTGAAGAATAAAGTCAGTCCTCTCTCACTGGTCTCTGTTCTTAGCCCTGATGACTGAAGCTGATCTCTCTCTCTCACTGGTCTGTTTTTGTTTTCTGATTTAGGGTTACACTCTGTTGTGTTTGTGTGCGCAGTGACAGTGGCAGACTACATATCCAGAGCCGAATCTCAGAGCCGACAGCTGCCTAAGAAGGACTCCAAGAAAAATAAAGAAGTGGTAAGTATCTGTTGGCATCATGTGCCCTCGAGGCAGCAGTCCTCAGGACACACTGCTCTCAGTCTGTCACTCGTTAACTGATCGACAGTTAAAAATGTGTCTTCTCCGTCGGCACAAAATTTAAAACTTTAAATTTAAACCCTGTTGGCCTTCTCTCTTTAGGCAAGTTTATTTGTATAGCACAGTCCATACTCAAGGCAACAAGCTGAACAAAACAAGAAACAATCACACAAGTCATTAAAAACATAAAAGAAATGATAGTTCAAGAGTGAAGTTAAAATACTTGTCTTGCTGCAGCAAAACAGAATTGTTTTAAACCTGGATTTGAACATTGTCAAGAGTAGAAGCCTGTCTCGAAGACTCTTCCTGATTACAGCTGCAAAAATCTGAAACTGCAGCCTCCTCATAGCCCCAGCAGGAGGCCAGTCCCTGTGCTCCTCAAAGTCCCAGCAAAGTGATTTACATCTATGACCTCTCATTCCTGAATTCTCTGATCTGTCTTAGGTGGAGCCCATTGCAGAGCACGGACCTGGGACTGCTTCAGAGAACGGCCCCCGCACCCCTGCCTCCCCCACACGCCCCACCGCCTCCCCCACACGCCCGGCCTCCTCACCAACACACCCCCCCTCCTCCCCGACATGCCCCCCGGTGGAGACTGTGGTGAACGGCGTGTCGTAGTCCGGAGTCTCACTCACTCAGCTGTTTGTACAATATTTGACTCTTGTTCTGTCCAAAGACGTCTTCACTGTCGAGTCGTCAGTAAACTCTAATCCGTCACGTTTCTAATCTCAAAGGTCTTAGATCTTTGTCTCAAGGTCTAACAAATGAAAATATACAAAATAACGGCATTATCTGTCCCCTGGAAGTCATTTTACTGGAAATGAGCTCAGTCACACAGGAGGAGCTCGGAGTAGAGCCACTGCTCCTCCACGTGGAGAGGAGCCAGTTTAGGTGGCTCCGGCATCAGTTTGGGATGCCTCCGGGACGCCTCCCTAGGGAGGTGTTCTGGGTATGTCCCACTGGGAGGAGACCAGGGAAAGCCCCAGGACACAGGGACTGTGTCTCTCAGCTGGCCGAGGATTGCCTCAGGATTCCCCCAGATGATCTGGAGGTGTGTGTGGAGGGGGAAGGATGTGCGGCTTAGATAGTTGCCCCTGCGACCCGGCAACAGATAAAGTGGAAGAACATGGATGGATACACAAAATATTTTTCACGTGAAAGAAAACTGAATACAAGAATTACTTTATTTATCTTTTAAATGTCATTAAGAGTCATCACAGTAAATACACACAAATACTTACACACACATACATACGTACACACTCACACGCATATACACTTTCCGTGTTTTCTGACGTCATCGTGTACAAGCAGAAAAGAGCATTTTAAATTTGTCAGTGTGAACTGGGTATTTCTGCAGTCAATGATCAGGTTTCTCCCCTTTGAGTCAAAATGTGTCAGAAGCAAAACAGAAATCCTGAATTCATGTAATTTTAAATCCTACGTGTGGATTGGTCTCTGACGACAAGGCTTTCTCTGAAAATAAAACAGTTTGTTGCACAAGTTCAAACAAAGCCTTAAGAACAAACACATGTGAATAAGTGAGTTCCTAAAGGTCCCTGGTTCCAAACAGATATTTCATGTACAAACAGCTGTTATTTTAAGTCGTCCACTATCTATAAGTTAGTCACCTTTTGTCTGTTTTTAAATACATTTCTCAAATGCCTAAAGGGTTCATTAACAAAAAGCAATTATGAATGGAGTCATTTTTTGCTGTGAAACCGTTGAAAATCCACGAAGCTGTACAAACCCGGTCCCGAGCCGCTGATGGAGGCTTATTTATTTGAAGAGAAATGTACAGTATTTAAAAGTGAAACGAACCGGATCCTGAGGCGTCTCTGCGGTCCTCCACCACTCTGGCTTTTATAAGGAGTGTTTTGGTTGATGTGCAATATGTTTTGTATGGGTAGTTCTTAAATAAACTTGATTTTCCATGTGGATCTTCATGGTGTCATGTTCTACACAGCGTCCTGAAGCTAAAGAGACCATGGCCATTTCATAGTCACAAGTCTACAGGTTCAGTGATGTAATAGACCATATACAGGTGGACAATGCTAACAAAGACCGTATACAGAGTAAATAAAACCTAATAGGAAAGTGCTCATGGTGAAGTTTGGCTCCAACTCTCTGGCTCCTATTGTCTTACATGTGAAAGTAAACTAGCTCAGTAACAGTTTGTCACATTAATCATTTTGGGCTTAAATCTGTGGTTTAGAGCTCTGTGATCCTGGTGTTTACAGTGCGATATTGTATTTGTAAATCCAGATATAAGCCAGAGGCTTTCATTCACATTGAAAACTCCAGCTGGTCTTTTGCAACCGTCTTAGTTAGCAACAGGTGACCCCTGTTACAGCGCAAAGCTAACAAATCAGAACAAAAGCCCACATAAGGAAACTGGCTCCATGTTCAAACCAGCCTCTTCTGCATTAAGGCTAACACTATGGTGATGTCACACTGGGGTGATGTCACAGTCCACTCCTAATTCTTGACTTTCACGTGACGTCACATCCTGTGAAATAAAGGTCAGCTTACCGGAAGTCGGCCATGTTGGTGGTAAAGCACTCTGTTGTAGCAGTATGGTCACGCTGTCACATTAGTCTTTCAAGCGTCATTTAAGTTCTTTGAAGCAATGACATACAATTGTGCTAACAACAGCAAGCGTGACAAGGACAAATTTAGTTTTTATTGTTTCCCGAACTTGTTTGGTTTACTACAAGTTAGGGCTGGGCGATATGGCAAAAAAAAAAAATCTCCGATTTTAATCGATTTATTTTTTTCTATTTAAAAACAAACTACAACTGACAAAGAAATAGATTTTCCTTTATGCAGTTCAATCTAAATCCCCATGGAGCATAAGTGTAACAGGAATTAAGCCTTAAAACATGCTTGTAAACGAGATGGCTCTGCCATTGTAAACAGTGAAAATGTAGCTTAACAGTTTTATAATAACTTCACTTACAATGACACTATGCACCTTCAAAATAACTTAAATCACACAAACAAGGCCCATCGCAAATATATCAATCCTATTAAACACATGCATTATTTACATGAAATATCACATTTTTAAAACTGATTACTCAAAATAGAAATGTTGTAACAGACAGTCTGTTCCAAAAGCCTCCTCGGGTTTTCATGCTTGTTCTTTCAACTGTGCCTGAGTAACTGTGCTGTAGTACAACGCTCGGTCCAGCTGGTGGCGCTAATACTAACTTCAGTGACTCCCGCATTGTGCGAGCTTCCTGTTTACATTCTGATGCTGTAGCTAACAGCTACTGTAGCAGCTACTGTAGCTAGCAGACAGCGGGGAACACGGTGTTTGTATCAGAGCAATGAGAGCAATGTGTGAGACGTGTCTTTCCCCAAAGTGCAGCGGCTCAGTGGGACACGAGTGTGTGCGCGCCACGGACACGGGAGTGCGCTTTGGAATAACGAGCGTGAGAGAGCGTGAAAGATGTGGCGTACGAACATGGCGTACGGACATAACGACCGGGGCTTGCGTGCGTGTGTGTGTGTGTTCTGGCGATTTAAATAAAGTCTGATTCTTGAACGTTTGAAGTGTTATTGCAACAGCACCAACTGTGAGAGCGAGCATCAGGCCAGAGGGAGACTGTTAGCATTAGGTTAGCTTCAAAATGACTGCTCAACACCATAGACCCGCGGTTAGCGCGTTAGCGCTGTAGTTCTGCGCTGGAGAAAATAAAAATCAAATTTTTAAAAAAAGAAATCGCCCTAAACGTAAAACTCGAATTAATGATTAAAATCGATTAATCGCCCAGCCCGTACAAGTTGTTTCGTTTTTGCAGATTTGAAATCCATCTCGTAAATTTAAATATAGGGCACTTGTCTGACACATGTTGGCATGACCCACTTGCTCTTCTCCTGGGTACAGGGAACTGAACCCTCCGCACCGCGCCTTCTACTGCATTTCCTGTTAAGGCCAGCCATGCAGTTGCAGTGCACAAACATAACATTTCCGTCATTCTCAGCCACAAACCAAGTATTCAATGGTGTTTATCGCGCTCTCTGGGAATGGTTGATATAAAAAGAATAAAACGACTATCAGCAAATGCAATATGTAAAAGACTCGACGCGTGTGACGTCAAACATTAAATTACAAAGCTAAACTCAAAAATTACAGATACATTATCTTTATTACTTACCCAAGCAAAAACACCTGACTTGTCAACACAAACTTGCTTTGTCTGAAGTTTGTTCATCCAGCCTCTCACAAAATGTTGAATGCTTCCATTGATTTGTCAAATCAGTACACCACCAACATGGCGGACGCTGATTAGGTCATCAGTTTTGGTCACGTGGTTGAAAGTCAAGAATACACGCTGTTAGAAGCTATACCCAATTTATTTTCTAATAAAATGCTTATTACTACATACAAGTTTTATGAAAATCTGTAATTTTATTGAAAACTTGAGCTCATTGATTCAGCTTGTGTATGAATTCAGACCGTAAAAAGTGCTGAGTAGAAACTTGGCGTGACGCTAGATCTCCTCCACTCTCAGAACGAGGAGCAAACAGGGTAAACAAATTAGCATGTTAGCAGAATTGGCCATAACTCCTCTGGCTATAACTGCAGACACAGAAAAACAGCCTGAACAATGCAACAGGGAGGAAGAGAAGAGGGAACTAAAGCGAAAAAAGGATCAACTAAGAATTCAAGCCCGGGTGAACTTAGCTAGCTTAAGCCTGGTTCACACGGCAGGATATTTAGGCCGATTTAGACCCGATTTACCCCTTACGACAATCTTAAGAAACGCTCCGATTTCCGTAACAAAATCTTACAGATTATCCTGCCGTGTGTGGTGTGTTAAGACTGCACTCGTCGCTCGGAAGGACATCGGGACTGCTCCCGATCTCAAATCGGGGATATCCAACATGTTGGATTGTTTTGGCCCGATTTCTTGTCGTGTGTGGTGTCCTCCGAGGACAAGCGAGCGCGTTGCCATGACTACGGCGTGTAGCCAATAAGAAGACGAGGTGACAAGCCGGTGAGGAAACACCGGAAAAAAAACAAAACACAGCAGCATGGCTTTGACCATTGCCTTTTCTTTGGATTACGTGTCTTCTCTGTTAACAACAAACTGCACACTATCGCCACTGCATCCTCTTCGTCCGCCATGACTGTTTACTCTGAAGTCACGCTTGATCTCGAGAGACTTTGTGAGATTTCCGTCTGACCTGGGAATGCTCGGGGGGGGGGGTGTCGGTTCGTGTGTGATGTTTGTGGCTTGCGTGATCTTGCCGTGTGGCTACGCACCACACACTGCACGACCAAAGTGGTTAGACGCAGGATTTTTAATCTCCCCGTGTGGGGTCTAACACGGAGAAAAATCGGCCGACAATTTTAAAATCGTCTCGTGTGAACCAGGCTTTACATCGTATCCTCTGGAGAAACTCGTCTACCTCGGACTATCTATGCTCGGACTACATTCAGACGCAAAACTAGCGGTAATCTTTCAGTTATTTATATTGTTAGCAGTGCGTTGCCTTTGTAGTATTTCATCAGTGATTGTTGTACAACTTACAAGAAGTTGCATTTATGCCAATGTTTGCATATGTATCAGATCACAAATAAAACTCGATGGCTCCGTGGGATGGACGCCTGTGAAGGGTTGAGGGGCGGAGCTAAACATGCAAATTGAAATAACCTTGTAGAAACGGGTATAGCTCCTTTAACATTGTGGTATTGATCTCATATCTGAAATTTCCCCACTGTGGGACAAATTAAGGATCTCCTAATCTTCAATATAGATGTTTCGGTCACACTTTAGTTTATCGTTTTTAGTGAACAGCTCATTTAGTGCTAATTAGTGTATCAATTATGGCTAATTTAAATAGCGAGGGCTAATCTAGATTGTTACAGATTTTTCTCAACCTGGAGCTGGTGCATCGTTCATTTCAAACTAACAAAACAGCAGAAGTTTCCGAACAAACAGACGCTGACGTCGACACGGGTCTAAAACACATCTGACATTTCATTTATTAAAGACGATTATTTTACAGAAAGAAACAGGAGCATCATTTATTCTGTCCGTCCATCAGGTCTTTAGCTTCATTGATTTTAGCAGCGAGATACGGAGATCCTCCTGAAAGAGACTGGGTATTATTCTACTGCAGAGATTAGAGACTGGTCTTTATTGTACTGTAGAGATTAGAGACTGTAGAGATTAGAGACTGTAGAGATTAGAGACCGTAGAGATTAGAGACTGGTCTTTATTCTACTGTAGAGATTAGAGACTGTAGAACTTTATTCTGACTGTTGACATTAGAGATTGAATTGAATTCTGACTGTCGAGATTAGCGACTGAGTACTATTTTACTGTAGAGATTAGAGACTGAGCTCTATTCTGACTGTAGAGTTAAGAGATTGTAGAGTTTAGAGACCGTAGAGTTTAGAGACCGTAGAGTTTTGAGACCGTAGAGTTTAGAGACTGTAGAGTTTAGAGACTGTAGTGCTCTAACCTCGGTCCGGATGGTTCAGAATCATCAGTTTTCTGTGAGCCTCTCGGATCTTACTCTTGTTTGCAGTCGGGCTGAAAACACACAAGTACTGTGTTAACTATACACTAGTGTTGTTTACTGTACCACTGAATGGTCGTCATGGAGATAACTTTCATGTACATTTCTTTCACATCTGCCTGTTTATACAGTGACCATTCACAAGCGACTTTTAAGACACACCCCAGAGAGTCCTGATCTGTCATTGGTCGGAGCGAGCGCAGACACTCAGAGCGAAAGACCAATGACAGCGCAGGACCCTCAGAGTGTGTATTTTAGGCTGCATGTGATTGGTGACGGTTATCAGGGTTATCAGATTTTTCTCCACACAGAGCATCAGATTATACTAATATATAAATTAATCTATAATCCATAATCCAATCATCAAACTATTCTAATATATAAACTGATCTATAATCCATTATCAAACCATCAGATTATCCTATTGTATAATCCAAACATCATATGAAGGAGCACTCACCTGATGCCCAACACTAACGACGCTTCTCTCTTGTTCATCTTCGGTTCAAATCCTCCTCTGTAGTATCCTCCTCCGAACGCCTACAACAGTCGCTACAGTCAGTACAGTCACAACAGTTACAGTTACTACAGTCACTACAGTCACTACAGTTACTACAGTTACTACGGTCAGTACAGTTGCTACAGTCAGTACAGTCACTACAGTCACTACAGTCAGTACAGTCAGTACAGTTGCTGGGGATGCACCGATGCATTGGCTGAACATTGTATCGGAAGATTTTTGTCTTGTTAACTACCATCGGCACATACGAATGACATTCGCCGATGGTAGGTGCGTGCAAAGAGATATCAATAGAGGGTGGTTGTGTAGCAATATTTTACAGTAACAGAAAAAGATCAGCGTTATGTAGTTTCCAATACGTGTTCCAGTGAAATGAGTGACCGCGAGGCACTTGCTGTTGTTTGCTGTACGTACTCGAACAGGATTCCACATCCTCCTGCAGCGTTCTGACCCCAACTGCGGCCGCTTTGTAATGACAGTGGTTCCCGTATCCAGCGACTGAAGTGCTTTGACAACAGCTCAGCGAACGCTGTAACGTGGCCATAACCTGTCAGACTCAGCTCTCAAATTATTTTGGAATTATGTTTCTATCTTCCACAGAAGCTGAGAAATGACATGTTGAATATTCAGGAAAACTTCAGGTTTTAGGGGGTAGTTCTAAAGTTATAATACCAGGCGTTTTAGGCCTAAATTGGTTAACACAAAGACTCTCATTGGACTTTTGAGAAGGAAGCATGAGGCAGTGTACAGCCACTGCATGCAAGCTGAAGAAAAACAGAAAGCTGCAGCCCCCAAATGTTAAACATCTGTATCGGCCCAAAATTTCACAATCGATGCATCCCTAACACTTACTACAGATTTGGTTACTACAGTCAGTACAGTTACTACAGTCAGTACAGTTACTACAGTCAGTGCAGTTTCTACAGTCAGTGCAGTTTCTACAATTACAATTACTACACTACAGCAACAGTTTTTATTTACTACAGTTACAGTTCTACAGTCACCACAGTTACTAGTTACAACAGCTACAGTTATTCCTTGCAACAATCCCTGTACAGTCAGCAACTACTGACTGTAATCCAGATTATATCAATTTATTCAAGATTGATCATATAATTTCAGAAAGATTGAAGGAGACTAAACTCGTGGCAGAAGAGCACGATAGAGAAGAGAAGAGCAGAGTAAAGCACAGTGTAGTAGAGTGGAGTAGAGCAGAGCACACATATTTTGTGATTATAAAAGCGTCTCAGAGTGTTTTGGTGAAAGCACTGACCGTGTTGGGGAAGCTTTTTAGAGCCTGCTTCATCTGCGGCTCCACTTGTTTAAAGGCCTGAATCGCATACCGCCCTGAGGAGTAGATGTACATTATCTGTGTGTAATTTTGTATGTATATATATATATATATTTGTGAATCTGGAACCACCTCTAAAAAATGTGTTCATAATCATAAATAATTATCATAAGTCTGTTCTACCTTCTGAGCTTTAGAGAACTTTGAAGTATGATTTATGGTTGTATGAACGGTGAGTTTAAAAGAAGAATCAATAGTATAGTATAGTATAGTTAGTATTTCCTTTTACCTGCAAATCCAGCTGCAGCCAGAGCCAGTCCCACAGCCACCGCGGAACTGGCCTGAAAACAAAAACTATTTTTAACACTTCTGTGCGTTTTATGTTAATTTGATTTGATTTCATGGTTGTGAGATAGTGTAATGCCTCATCTAAAACCGAGACAAACCAGGACATGTGTATAATCATCTTAATAACCAGAGCTTGAGGAGCAAACACAGTCAAAGCAAATAGTGGACATGATTCATTGAGCTAAAGCTAACATTAGCATAGCGCTGTTTTAGCCTCTTCTGCTGCTAATGTCATGCACCAAGAGTGATCTTTCAGGTTATTTAACAGCGTCATTGAGTCTTCTACCGGCCAGAACGTCTTACCATCTCCGCAACTTATGTCCAGTGGTTTTTAAACGCGTAAATCATAACTTTTGACCTCTCATGTTGTCATCTCACGGAGGTCTGCCAGTGTTGTGACGGAAAGCAGCGCGGAGCGTCGTAAAACTGGGAGCACGTGGGTTTTGTGAATTAATCATGACGTTGAGTGATATTTAGCAGTTGCTTTGTATTAGATTCTGTTTACGTATAAATCAAGTGTAGACATTACATACACCGTGAACTAGCTCTGATTGACTTTACGACACTCGTCTTCTGAACTTTCTTCCCTCTGAATTTCGGTAAGTTTTGTACATTTAATTACATTTCTGCTGACGTTTCTGTCTGCACTTGTTCTGCTTTTTCATAATATTCTACTTTTCAAAGAAAATGCTGATTATGAAAGTAAAAGTGTGTAAAACTCTTAAATGTAGATCTGCAATAACCTCAGGACAGAGGCTCGGGTTAGTTGGTAAATAGTCAATAAAGTACTAGTTTAAACTATAACACTACTGTTTGCTGTTGTATTGTCTTGTATGGCATAGAAGTGACTACTCATAGGAGTAAGCTGGCATGGTGGTTACTATCAAGTACAAGTCAACACTAAATGGGAAAGATCATTATTTTAGAATAAATATAACAATCCCCCAAACTCTGCATTCCTGTTACATTTGCACTGTATGTCCAGGAGACATAATTGACTTGATTTATGATAAAACAAAATGAATTATAATATGGTTTTGAGAAAATAATACTGATGCAGACATGAATTATCCTCCTAAATATGAGGAGGCAGTGTAAAATCTGGAACAGTCTTTCTGAAAATGTGGGACAGGGTTCTTCTCTGACAAAGTTCAAATCCAGGTTAAAAACAGCTTTGTTTTGCTGCAGCAACTGAAGGATTGTATCTTCACTCTTATTAATCCACTGTGATTATTTATGCCTTGTGTAATCGTTTCTATCTAGTTTTGTTCAGCACTTTGCCTTGTGTATGAACTGTGCTATACAAATAAACTTGCTTCATCATGTCCCTCGCTCTGGGGCCCTTTCTCTCCTTGTGCAGAGATCGTATGGAATCCCAGCGTGTGGCGGAGGGTAGAGCTGCCAGCACCAATACAAAAGCCCAGAGGAAGCTGCGTTTTCTGCGTGTTTTATTAAACCGACCGAGCAATTTAATTCCTTTGTTCGGGGGAGTTCTACTTCATTGATTAACAAAAGCGGGATATCATTTTTTTTCAGCCCCTTTTGAAAAGACTGAAATGTCAAGCCTTTTAGAGGAGATTATTCTGCCTGTGTGCTGTGAATAGAGCTCAGAGTAACCTTTGTCTACAATTAAATATTCCGGCATAAATATAAAAGAAAATCAGAGATGGGGGGAGAAGATTGAGTCAGGAGAGATTGGAGGTAGATGCTCTGTCCGATAGCAGCAGCAGCAGCAGCTAGGGCTCCTCTCTAATTAGATATTCCAGGCTGAAAAAGGCAGTCTCTCTCCCCACAAGGCAGCGAGAGGAGGTAGCTCCAGGAGAAGACTTGAGGCGTATCTGTCGGCATCTCGCCCGCCACCACGCGCTCTCCTCTGGGCTCCGCAGAGGTATTTATGCATTTATATATTTATTTGTGTGGACTTTGTTTTGTGGCGTCGCTAAAAGGCAAACTCAACTGGGAGCGCTTTGTGTGAATGCAAAGTTTATAGAGGGTTGTTTTGGATGCGGCAGAAGTGATTAGCAACGATAATGGGACGCGAGACGGAGGCGTTTCAATGGAATGTAGATGCTTTTCTCAGGTTCAGGTCAGAGCTTGGTCCCAGTGGGGCAGTTGGGAGGGGCGGGGGGCAGCTGGGGGATTTCAAAAGTTTGTAGAAAAGTGACAAGAGTGACGTTAACGAGGACGTTGGCGCTTGGTCAGAGTAGGTGCTGCTCCAGACATTTGGATGAATAGTTTTTCAACCATTAATTTCTGTGCGTGTGCGGCGACAGGCTCCATTAGGCTCCAGGACAGATGTAGCTCCATCACATCCACAGGTTAGAGTTAGGGTTAGAGCTCAATTTGGTTAGGGCAAGAAGTATAAAAGTGGTTTACTTTATACTTTTTATTTTTATTTACATTTTTTGACAATTTATCTGTATTTCACACTAAAACTTCTCCATTACATTTCTTCTAATAGACTTTGAAGTACAACATCACATAGTTGCCCATCATCACCAATGCTGCAAATTACTGTGATAAAAATATTCTAAAATCATTTCAGTGACCACTATAATGGTCTTGTGGGCGGATTTGGCCCATACATGTTAACAATATGTAACATTAACAAAAGCTTGTTCCCACAAAGGATAGCAACACAACACATCAGGCAAACAAGTGACATACGACAAATGTACCGAGTTATTAGAAACTGTACAAATCCTACACAAATGTTTTTTTGTATCTGCTTTCATTCAAACAATTCAGTTTCCAAACTGGCAACCCAAATGAGAGCCTCATTCTGCTCTCTGATTGTATGATTTACTTTACCTTACTGAAAACTGCAAACATAAATATTATGAACTTCATGTACACTTAATATATATGTGACTCTTATAGAGACAGACATGTGTCATGTGTCTGTTAAAGAGAACACATGTGTATGATGTGACTGTTATAGAGACACACATGTGTCATCAATCAATCAATCAACGTTTATTTGTAGAGCGCCTTTCCTACACAAGGCAACGCAAAGCGCCTCACAACCCATATAACATCATGCATAAATCATCAAACATTAGAATTTAAGTAAACATAAAAGGACAGATTAAGAGCACAAGATATATAAAATCACACAAGTAGTTAAAAACCGTAAAACATTAAAATCACACAAGGGATTACAATCATAAATAATCATAAATAATCATAGCGCATTAAAAAGATTAAAGATAAAAACAAACATAAAATCATTCACTTGTATGCACAGCTAAAAAGAACTGTTTTCAGTTCAGTTTTAAAAACTGCTAGAGTAGACGCCTGTCTCACACTCTCGGGAAGACGGTTCCAGACTCTAGCTGCATGAATCTGAAACGCAGCCTCCCCATGTCTAGTTCCGACTAGTTCATGTGACTGTTATAGAGAACACTTGTTACTTAGTTAGTTATTTATTCCAAAACCTGCACAAAACAAGATACAAATATCAATTTGAATTAAATCAAATGAAACACATGTCACAAGTTTTGAAAAGGGTGTTGGGTGAAGCACACTCGTTCTCTCCCTCACACGGACAAGACACTGGCCCAAACACTCCCTGACCACACACCTCTCTCCCACCGCTCTGTCCATGCCCAGGGCATCACCTCCATATGTTTCTTCAATATGTCTCTTTTAAATAGTTTTTTAAATGTTTTTTGTTCTTCTTTTAATCCATTTCAAATGGGAACACCTTGGACCGAGATACACATAGATTTTAATGTTGTCCTAAATTTAGGTACATAGAATAGTTTGTTTTCTCTTAATCTGTAATTATGATGAGCATCTCCATCACTGAAAAGATGACTTAATTTGGATGGTAGAAAGTTTTCAAATGCCCTGAACATTATCTGAGCAGTTTTAAGAACGAGCAAGTTCTGCAGTTTCAGTTGTTGGTTTTTTATGAACAGGATTAGAAGGATGTCTGCAGTGGACATTGGGCACAATCCTTAGCCTTCTTTTGCAAAATAATCAGAGGCTGTAAATTACATTTGTAGCATTTCCCCCACACTTCCAAATAATAGTTTAAAGGAGCTATACCCTTTTCTGCAAGGTTTGAATGTTTAGCACTGCCCCTCAACTCGCTCACAGGCTTCTCATTTCCCCTACGCTCTCATTCCACGGAGCCATCTAGTTTTATTTGTGAACATTATCATGAGCGCAACTTCTTGTAAGCTGTACAACAATCACTGATGAATTGGTACAAAAGCAACGCACTGCAAACAAAATATATAACTGAAAGATTACCGCCAGTTCCTCGTCCGAATGTAGTAGAGCAGGGGTGGCCAACCAGTCAGAGACTAGAGCCATTTTTTTTACTGTGTAACAGCAAAGAGCCACATCATGCAAATGTGCACTACATAAACATCACCCTCACCCTTACACACGCACACACGCACACACCTGCTCAGACAGATTTAATGTAAATGTCATCAACATGATAATGACAGAAATTGACTCCTACAGTACTGAAGGGCTGGACTCGACTCTCCCCGGTTTGCGGGCGCTTCCACCGCTCGCTTTAGCCGCTCCCCGGTACTTTTTATTAATGGTTTGGTCCTGGTTCTAACCGGGCGAGTCGATACCAGAACAATCGCACGTCAGTGAACATCAATTATGATTCCGAAATGAATGCTTTCAATCTCTAACCAAGAAAAAAAAATCAAGTTTCAATAGGGCTGGGCGATTAATCGATTTTAATCATTAATTCGAGTTTTACATTTAGGGCGATTTCTTTTTTTAAAAATTCGATTTTTATTTTCTCCATCGCAGAACTACAGCGCTAACGCGCTAACCGCGGGTCTATGGTGTTGAGCAGTCATTTTGAAGCTAACCTAATGCTAACAGTCTCCCTCTGGCCTGATGCTCGCTCTCACAGTTGGTGCTGTTGCAATAACACTTCAAACGTTCAAGAATCAGACTTTATTTAAATCGCCAAAACACACACACACAGGCTCCGGTCGCTATGTTCGTACGCCATGTTCGTACGCCACATCTTTCACGCTCTCTCACGCTCGTTATTCCAAAGCGCACTCCCGTGTCCGTGGCGCGCACACACTCGTGTCCCACTGAGCCGCTGCACTTTGGGGAAAGACACGTCTCACACATTGCTCTCATTGCTCTGATACAAACACCGTGTTCCCCGCTGTCTGTTAGCTACAGTAGCTGCTACAGTAGCTGTTAGCTACAGTAGCTGCTACAGTAGCTGTTAGCTACAGTAGCTGCTACAGTAGCGGTTAGCTACAGCATCAGAATGTAAACAGGAAGCTCGCACAATGCGGGAGTCACTGAAG